GCGCGATAGGAAGGTCCTATCGATCCACGCACCTGATTGGCGAGCGGGAGTTATCGGGGGATCGACCGGGCGTCGTACGCCAGACGTAGAGGGTGAGAAGAGAAAAGGCGCGAGAGGTGGCGCAAGACGGGTCCAAGATTCAGATGATCAAGAAAGGGAAATGGGCGCGCGAAAGCAAGGCGGGAGAGAGAGAGAGGGAGAAGGAAAAACAGTTACGGGGAGAGAGAAAAAGGAGGGAAAAGGAAAGGGAGGTGCGGGAGGGAGCGATGCGGGGGACAAAGAGGAGGACGCTTTTGCATGCACGGCGTCGTCAACAAAAAAAAAGAAAAAGGCACCGAAACAGTTACAGCTTGCTTCTATCCTAATTCAAAATTGAAATCACCATATCCGCGCGAGAAAAAACGACTCGGCAAAAGAAAATCCTACGCCTATTCGTATTCACGCAAAATCCCGAGAGTTTTCCCCGACGCGCCCAAGAACATTCACACACCCAAAAAGGACACGTTGAAGTTCCGCTTATCCCAGAATTCCCAACTACCGAGCCCAATTCCCAGTGCACTCGCTAAGGCGCACGTAAATTCTCATGTATTCCCGACTTTGCAAGAAGAAAAACAGAACTTAGCAGTCGAAAAAAACTCTCAAAAAGGAAAATGCGGCGCCCGAAAGCAAGAACTCAAAACGGGGTTTTCCTGGGGTTGGTATGATACAAGCAAAAGAAAGGGTACGAAAGATGGCACGGGGTCGGGAAGTGGTTCGTCACAGACTTCTGGTTCCGCTTTGGGCACTTCGGGTCTCCTTCTGAAAGGAAGTGGCGCCGGTCGGCAGGGCACCAAGGACTGAAGGAGTTGTGGCGCATGCTACCTCTATCTCGACGTATCCACCCTCGCCCATATCTACTATCAAGTATCGTTTGTATTGCGGACGTGCCGCCGACTCGAGATCAAACCGCACATTTAACGGATCTGGGGGGGGGTGCGTCATTGTGGGTTGGAAAAGCCTTTACTACCGTGCCAAATGCATCCTGGACGGTGTCGTGCAAAGGTGCAACACCCAAAAGAAACGGTACTTTGCAACCTCCCTCCACTCCCGCAATTCCTGCTCTGTCATCCATGGTTGGAAAGTGAGGGTGCGTGTTTTACCATCTAAATCGATTTTCGTTTGTCCTACTCTGAGCATCCATGAGGCGATTCCCTTCGCTGTTGCCACATATGTGACCAGGTTCTTGCCCTCGTGGAATAAACCGGTCTGTAATGGGACGTCAATCTGTTTCGCATTTGCCCAACCATTTTCGTAGACCCGCGCCAAGCGTTTCTTCACATCTATAAGTAACGAGGTTGATTCGTCTCCAAATGTTATACTTATGGCGTGCTCTCTTAACCATTCGGCCTGAATTTGGTAGAATTGCGGATTGACCACTCGCACATAGTCCTCCCCCACTTCTACAGTGTCCTTGCCCAGGTTCTTGGGAAGAATCCCATCAGTAAAGCAGGGTGAGAGCAGATCCCGAATCCTCTTCTTTCTTCGTCTGGTACTGCTGGAATCCCTTCAGATGACTCCATTCCCGAGGAGTAGGGCGAAAGGTAAGAGTTTAAGAACTACGATTTCGTCAAAACGGACATTTTTTTTTTTTTGAACGAAATTGAAACTCTCATATTTTGCCTTATTTTTCTTCATTTGTGAAATATTTGTGATACGAAATGGGGGAGGGGTAGGGGGTAAGGGTTAAGGGGGGAGGTAAGGGGTAAGGGGTAAGGG